ACTAGCCTGTGTTTCTCCAAAGTATCAACGCCTTGAAAGACAAAGGGAGAAACGATGCCAGGATGAAGGAGACTAAGGAGACGAGACAGTGAAATGGGCTGTGTGGTCTCTGCCTGCAGCCCCCAAAGGGGGATAAAATGCCCTCTCAGACATTTTTTTAGTCAGTTGACAAAATTGGAATACTGGCATTGTATCAATGCTAAATTTTCTGAGTATTGTAATTATACCATGGAAGATGATATCCATGTTCTTTAGAAATCCATATCGAAGTACAAGGGGCTCCAGATGTGATCTGTGTTGCTTACTCTAAAATGATTCAAGCCAGGTATGTCAGGACACCTATGGAGTCCCGGCCACATGATAGGCTAAGGTGTGAAGACTGGCTGAGCCCAGCAGTTCAAGACCCACCTGAGCAACTTAACAAGAGTGTCAATAGTAATAATAATAAAATAAGATTTTTTTTGCAGGGCCGGGGGGGGGGGGGAAGGTGTTTCGAGACAAGGTTTCTCTGTGGCTTTGGAGGCTGTCCTGGGACTAGCTCTTGTAGTCCAGGCTGGTCTGGAACTCACAGAGATCTGCCTGCCTCTGCCTCCTGAGTGCTGTGATTAAAGGCTTGCGCCACCAATACCCGGCAAGTAGGATTCATTTTTTAAAATGTGTTCCTGTGTAGAAAAAAAAAAAACGAAGCTAGGAGGAGGGAGAGAGAAAATGAACCTCAACTTTGGTGCAGGGGTGGAGGGTGACAAGAAGCAGGCAGAAGTGCCAGACAATGGTGGCACACGCCTTTAATCCCAACATTCCCAAGGCAGAGGCAGGTGGGTCTCTGAGCTTGAGGCCAGTCTGGTCTACCGAGCAAGTTCCAGGACAGCCAAGGATGCATAGAGAAACCCTGTCTCAAAAAAACAAAAACCAAAAAGAAAAAAGAAAAAGGCAGGGAAGGCAATCCTGGAGGAGTAGCCTATGAAAGCTGGGGATGGAGACACAGGGTCAACAGGACAGCATCAGGCAGGCACCCCAGGTGGAGCATAGGGCAGCTAAGCTTCAGCTTGAGAACCAGTTCACTTCTGAAGGGCATTGGATGTGTGACTTCAAGAGGAAGCTTCACAATTCCTGGCGCCCCCCTCCACACCCTACTCTAAATGAGAGGTTGTTTGTGACCCTTGCTCCCCCTGGTAGGTTGGAAGTGGTGCTGTTGAAGACCTGGCTCTATGGGTCTCTATGCTCAAGCCTTGCTGGTGTGAGCTCCTGGAGTCATGTGCTGCCTGTTGGTTAGCTGTCATGCCCAGTTACTGGGAATGGCCAGGAAAGCTGTGTGAGCTGAATGAGAAAGGTGGGCGCCCTCTATCTGTTTACTTTGCTGTCACTCTGGGGAGACCCAGGAAGACCTGGAGTGAGAGAAAGTGAAAGAAAAAAGAAGAGTGAGGGAAGGATGGGGTGAAGAGTTAGAAAGGGTGTGAAGAGGGGACCTGACCCTTAGAAACAGGAAGAGCTTAAAGGCTCTTCTCACCTTGTCCCACATGACTTGTGGGTCCTGGAACCCAACTAGGGCCATCAAGGGAATGAAGAAAGGACAGACACACGCAAAGGGAGGCTAAGGTCTGGTTGTGGGGTTCATGTTTGGATTGAGGATACCTACTGCAAGCCAGAACCTTTTTATCAGGTATAGCACGGGGGCTGGCAGTGAGTTTGGGTAGGCAGGCTCTGTATGTGAGCTGTCTCAGGCTGTCCATATCCCAGAGGGTGACACTAGGTAGTCATTTATAAACACTCACACTTGGAAACCCTGAGGAAGGCTTTGCCACTCCTGTGGAACTGAGGCATTGGAACCCTTGACATGGCTGTCTACTCCATACTTAACTCCCTCAGGGCTTCCTCTGTTTCCTCTACCATAGAAGTTCAAGACAATGTATGGGACTACACCCCTTCTGTCAATGACCTGCTGTGTGGCTCTACGTAAACCATTTGAATCCTTCCCTGTTGCCTGGGCAGTCAGTAGCCAGGGATGTTCAGAACATCAGTTCACAAGCTGTTAAAGCATACTGTGTACTTTGAAAGGGTACAGAAAGGCACACAGTTTGGTGCCACTGTCTTTACTGTATGTGTTGACACTTTCCAATCACAAACTTGTCACCCTGTGTCCAAATGTCTTGAACATGCTGGGATAGATAATTACCATAGGTTCTTTGAGATGCCAGTTAAATTGTGGCTGAGTGTTCTGCAGGCAAATGTGTGCTTTTTGATGATCTTATTTGGGGCTCCTACCAAAGAGCCCCTGCCCTAAGTTAACGTGTTTGGCTCTGAAGGGCCAACAGAATCACGGCTGCTCCTAACACTGTAAGTATTTATGACAACCATAGAAATATCTGGGAATTTTAAGTAAAGAAGTATTTAAAATATATAAAAATAGAAACTAGGTGGCCTAAGACCTAACCTCTCTCTTTTAAGAGTTTGGATTAGCCAACTGACTATGTCTTTGTGTGGACTCTCTGAGTGCTGATAAGTAGGCTACACCCTGTGGGTTTATTTTCACCATTTTGAATGGCAGTATTAGGTCATAGGAGCTGTGATGTTTGAATTCACAGATGGAATGAGTACATTTATGTGACAGACTGCCAGTGAGAATTAGAGGACTTGTTAGACCAAACTCTTTCATTTCCATGTAACAGGATCCTCACCACTCACCAAGTAACTCCCTAGCATCCCAGCTACCCATCCTGCTCTGTGATGGGGAGGCAGCAGCATGGGTCCTGATCAGAACTCAGTGAAGTGGACATTGACTGATCAGGTGCATTTATCAGGACAGTGATTTACAATTCAGGCTGTTTCAAGCCTGCAGTGGAGACAACTTCCTTGGCAGTCGATTCACCAGGACCACACTCTAACATCCTAAAGTTAACTGTCAACCTCTGTGTTTGCCCTAATTTCCCATGTGTGAAGGAATGCCATCTGTCGAGAGTATTCAGTTATTTTCCTATCTTCAGCATGTCCATTGTATTTACTAACAAAGGGGCAGCTGTGTCAAAAGCACCAGCAAAGCCTTGCTTCCCTGAGATGTTCTGAATACCCATTTCTTCATTCCATTTGACAAATATTTATTGAATGACTACTATGCTGGGCATTGCCCTAAGCCTTGGGATAGTTGGAGGAAACAAGTCAGGCAAGAATCTCTGTTCTAATGGGGTTTATATGGCACAATGTGTTCTGGATACTTGTATTTTCTCGTGAACTAAAGAGCAAATGTCACTCGGCTCTTTGGGCATCTCCTTCTCTTTCAGTGATTGAACCCAGTGCATGGCTCATGCTAAGCAAGTCCTCTACTACTGAGCCATGTGCCAGCCAACTGGGCACTGTTAATCTTCTTTCTTTGGTATTCCTTTGGTCTTAAGGCTTTCGAAAACTCTTTTCTCTGTGTCCTGACATTAAGCAGAGTTGAAAATCCTCAACTTCATTTCTGAAGATTGAGATTCCCCTGGTGGGTCACCAGCCTGCACATCTAATCATTTTGGCATACATGAATCAAGCAAGTGTGTATTAACCAGGCTGGCTCGTGCCCCTGGCTTGTTTTCCATCTTTGAGATTCTGTCTCAAGATAACATAATCTGAGCTGCTGGAGGGCTAGTATTCTGAAGTCTTTGAAGATTCTGATGCCATTATCCTTTTTAGATGGATTTTAGTCTTTCCTCTCTGTGGAAGTTATAGCCATTACAGTCATAATAGTCTGATGAGAAATTTGAGGCAGTGGGGGAGGAATTAGATTTGCAGAGCTCTGAGACAGTGTGAGATGTAGCTTTGGCATGCCTGCCAGGATCCCAAAGCCTGGGTTGGGAAGACAAGAAACGGGGGGGGGGGGCGGGGGGGGGGGGGGTGATGTTCCATGTAAGATCAGTAGAATTGGGTCAGGCCAGCACTAAGTGATGGAGATCAGAGACTCCAGTGTGTATTCCACTCCAGTAACATGGAGGGCTTAGGGCACAGGGATGAGGGCTTATCCAATATGAAGCTCTGGGTTTCTGAGCCTACCTGACATGGGGTCATCAAAATAAGACTATATTATGAAACTAATGATACACAAAGCACCTACTATGTGTTAGGTACTGTGCTGTTTGACCAGTATCCTTCCGTCACATTTTCATTACTCCTCTTGAATTAGGTGGTACTAGCTTCTATACACAGAGGAGCAATATATGGCCTAGAGGGGTTGAAAACATGGCTGAGGAACTCTAGAGCTGATGCAAACAAGCAGCGTTAGTAGCTTTCTCCTGCTGCTCCCACTTGACCCCCTCTCCACAGACACCCTGGTTTATTTTCCTAGGAATTCCTACTTGTGTGTGGCAAATTGCACTCACCATAGGAAGTTGGCTCTTCCTTCCTCATTAGTACTTGATTCCTGTTCACTCAGTGCACCCTCTGTCTTTCACTCTTCCCAGACTTCAAGCATGTGTGCACCCTGATTTGCTAATGTGTTCTTGGTCAAGGTGTTTTGGGGTCTTACTCTCCATCTCGTCATTTGCCTCCACTGCACAAAGTCAGGACAACCAAAAGCAACACTGTCACTTCTGGTTACAGCTGCTCTGAGCAGCTTTCATTGGCTTCTGTCCCCACCTGCTGAGTCAGAAGTGGGCCAATCCCCTCAGAACCACCCCATCCTTGTGGAGAGGCTGCAGTTAAATTTGTGTCTTTGTAGCCTGCTGAGCAATCCCAGCTCTCTGTTTCCCCATGTCAGAAATTGCCACAATGTCCCATCAAGGCAAGACGATTTTCAGTGCAGTTGTCTCTACTTGAAGTGATGATGACCTTGCCCCAGCTGTCCCGGGAGGACGGCGGCTTGATGAGTAAGTCCCGAAGCTTGCTAGATGTGGCTCAGCATTTCACACACACAGCCTTGGACAGACAGACCCCAGTGTGGGCCTTAGGACTCGGTTGGACTCAAATGTTCTGACAGTCGGTCCTGAATGTGTCTCTCTGCTGTTTGTTTTGCTAACTTGTGTTTCCTTTTACAGCGAATGACAAGATTGAAGACATCAATGGCTGTCCAAAGAACAGATCGCAAATGGTAAGTGGGTCCATTGGTAGTGTTTGTGTAAGGTGAGAAGGCTGTGACTCAAGCCCTGACCAGCTTGACAAACAATCACACCAGAAGCTCTGCCCCTTGGGGTCATGTTAATTCGCCGTCAGCCACCCCCATGTAGCTATGCTTTCTGCTTCTGACACATTTGTTGGCATTCATTAAGAAATGGCTGTGACATTTGTGTAGATTGTCAGGCTGCAACAAATGAAATATCCTTTATGTTGAAAATAAATCATACAAGCTGGGCATTGGTGGCGCATGCCTTTATCCCAGCACTTGGGAGGCAGAGGCAGGTGGATCTCTGTGAGTTCGAGACCAGCCTGCTCTACAAGAGCTAGTTCCAGGACAGCCTCCAAAGCCACAGAGAAACCCTGTCTCGAAAAAAAAAGAAATGAAAAAAGAAAAGAAATCATACAGCATGGGCACAAACACATTCATGCATAGAACATGAACACTCTATGACTCAAAGATCCGTGATCATTTCTTCCTGTGTGGGGTGCAGAGACTTGGACAAGGTGGTGGGATCCTACTGATGAATGTGGGACATGTGGTCTGGTTGCCAGTATAGGTGAGAGGGACACCACGTTGGCACTGTTCTTGTGAGAAATAAACGTGACATCCGGACTCTGCTCAGCAACCTTGACAAGTGATGCATTTAAGCTTTAAGAAGGCAAAAACTAGTCTTTTGCTAGTTTAGTGTGTTCTTTCCTCGTGTTGCCAAGTCTTTGACTTCCTATCGATCCCTGAGTTGGGAGAACAGGATCTGTGATGAGGGAACTTGCATTGCTTCACTCGAGAATGCATGCTGTCAGAGTCTGGTAGAATGTTCCAACCTGAATTTGGTTGGATTCACTTCCGGAAATCTAAAGGAGGGCGTAAAATAATTTTCCATCCCCACTGCTTGACAGGTGTCACAGACATTCCAGAGTGCCTGGCATTTCTCAAGCTCTCTTTAATTTTCTGACATGTTTGTATCCTGAAGAGTTGGGCAGAAGGCAGCTTTTTTAGACAACTTTTTAAAATGCACAAAACCTATTTTTAGTGTGTGTGTGTGTGTGTGTGTGTGTCAGAGTGTCATTTTCCAGTTTACATTCTGAAACAAGTTTCTTTTGGGTGAGCCCCGAAGGCCTTGTCTCCTTTTGTTTGATCCACAGACCAGCCATTCCTTATGTAGGAAAATCCCCAGACTCTGAGAACTGCTCTGACTCTTGGGAAGCCTTGGCTGCTATTTTTACTAGTGCTACTGCAGCTGTCTAGTGTATTAATAATTGAAAAATTTTGGACACCAGAAGACTTAATTTTAGTGCAAGCATTTACATACACGGGTCTATCTTCATGTGAAAGAGAGACATTCCTTCCTTCTAGGACAGATATCAATGCCTTTGTCCTACTGTTGTTATGTGTGTAGAACTGACATTTGAAGGTAGGCTGCCTTTTATTTTATTTGGTACAAATGTATTTTCTGCAGGGTTTATTGGAGATGCTGCTTGTTATTAAAGTCTGTTTTCAAGTTTATAAAATATCACCATCTCAGACTCTTCTGTGAAATGTTATTTTTATCTGCAAATGTGTTTGTTATAAATACTGTCACAGCAGCAAGGCAGTCCTGTGGCTTCCCCACAGCTCAGCTATGTTAGCACTGGGGGGGCAGCATGGGGTGGTTTTCTTTTTTAGAGCAGCAATATAAAATTCTATAATTGCCTGTGATAATTGGTTACAGTCTGGAGTGAGGAGGCAGACAAAGTCTCTTGGCAAACATAGCAGAGAAGAGTTCAGCAAAGATGATGTGTGGCTCAGAAAATGAAGACTGTATATGATAGCCATTCTCTTCTGTTGAAAATGAGGAGGATGGTGATATGTACCACAGGATATTTTCCTTTACAGTAACATAAAACAGTGACAAGTACATGAGGCAGAGGTACCAGATCATGTAGGAAGTGAGGTATTGCCTTGACTGACTGAATCATTATGTGTGTGCATGCATGTATGTGTGGGTGCATGGCGTGTGTGTGTGTGTAAACACTGATACAGAGTTAAAATGTCTGCACTCCTGTCAAATATAATTTGATAGTATGCCAGTTACCATCTCTAAGCTCCTAAAAAGCTAATCTCCTGGTTAGGTATTATTTATTTTTTTAAATAAATTATTGAATTTTTATTTTATGTGCATTGATTATCAGATCCCTGGAACTGGAGTTACAGACAATTGTGAGCTGCCATGTGGGTGCTGGGAATTGAACATGGGTCCTCCGGAAGGGCAGTCAGTGCTCTTAACCACTGAGCCATCTCTCCAGCCCCTATTATTATTTATTTTTATTATTGTTGTTATTGTTGTTTTCTGGGTGCTTTTGTTGTTTTTGGTTTTTTTTTTGTTGTTGCTGTTTTTTTTTTTTTGAGACAGGGTTTCTCTGTGTAGCCTTGGATGTCCTAGAACTTTCTCAGTAGACCATGCTGGCCTTGAACTCACAGAGATCCACTTTCCTTTGCCTCCCGGGTGCTGGGATTAAAGACATGTACCACCACAGCCTGACAACATTATTTGGGGTGATCAGTGATGACCCTTTGCTGTTTGGAGGAGAGCATCATTTCGGTAGAAGGAAGATGACACACAGTGAGATGAGAACTTGCAAAGGCTGTTCTACCGGGAGGGTTAGTGACTCTCCCAAATTACAGAAAAGGAATATCCTCCAAGAAGCCTTTAGTAAAGGAACTGAAGAAAAGCAACTATTCCAAGCAGGGGTCTGATGCATCAGCTGGTCAGTGAGCTTTGCAGGAAGAACAAACCTGGAAGAGAGGCCACTTTCCCTCCCTTCCAATACCCTGTCCACAAGCGGGCCAGGAGCTCTAGTTTCTCCTCTAACCACACTCAGACCCTGCTTTGAGTCCCACTCTTCTTTTAAAGCATGGAAAAGTGAGAACACTGGAAAATGGGCTGGAATTCCAGGAGTAGAGGCATTACATCCTATTGGCCAGTCAGTCAGCCAACAGTCACAGAATGTCTCCTGGTGCCAAGCCATGAGCTAAGCCAGGTGAATAGCCAGCAGCCAGATGTGGTCTCAGCACACACGACAGTCAGATGAATGGGCAGAGAACAGAGAACAGTTAGAACACTTGACTCTATGACCCACCCCACCCCAGGGCAATTATTTCTAAGGCAGGTATCTGGGAAGGCTGGAGTTCTGGCGGCTCTGCAGTGTCTACCCTTGCCCTGTTGTACCATGCTGAAAGGTGGGCCTGGAAAAGACCTCACAGACATGGAGGACTGTTTAGACATGGGATAAGCCTGCTTCTTTTTCCATCTCCAGATTGCTGCATCTAAGGCAGTCCCATAGTAAAGCTTTTTCTGAAGGAAAAGATCCAGGCCATCAGCTTGGATGGGCAGTTCAGCCATGGGATCTAGGAACTGCAAACCTGCCCTGCCCCGCTGGAAGGAGTCATGGACTTCTCGTGTCAGCATTATCAAGTGTCTGTGTGCTGTTTGGTTATAAGCCCTTCTGTACTGGGATATTCCATCCTGGTTAGTTGTGGCTGCTGTGGCATTGCCCTTTGCAGACAGAAGTGTAGGTACCAGGTTGCTCAGTACTATCCCCAGGACTCAGCATCCATGACCCTTAGTGACCAGCTCTTCAGAAAGCAAAGAGTGATGTTGTTGATAAAGTGAGGGCTTCACTTTTCCAGGGCAAGCCTGACCTCAGCTTGTTTTTATGGAGGCTGTTAGACTATTTCAGTCTGACTTTGAGTCTTTGGGAGCCAAATCCTTGGACATGGTACTCTAGAAACATCATTCCCCATCCCACCCTCTTTCCCTCCTCCCCTACCAAACGTATCCCATTGACCCTTAAGTAAGTTAGTGTGTGCGTCAAAGCTGGTTGAAATGTTTTGGCTGTATGATGTTGCCATAGCAACCAAGGGGGCATCTCTTTGGTTTTGAAATTATTTGTTCAGCAGAATTAAGCGTTAGTTTGGAAGAAGAAGAAAAAAAAAAACATTGCTTGGAGCTCAGCCAGAGGGTACTGAGCAGCCCCTGGGCTGCTCTTTCTCGCCTGTAGCTCAAGGCCCCATGAGATCTCTGGGGCTCTGTTCCCTGTGGAGCCTTGGACTAGCCAGTGGCAGGCGATGGTTTTCTCTTTTAATCATTGTTTTAAGCAACTTGGCTTTCTGGCCTTCTTTGGGGGAGGCATAGAGTTGGGCCTTTTAGAAAGGGGACTCACACCTGCCTTTCCCTCCAGCCAGGCCTGCATTCCAACTGCCTGCTGGCCCCTCTGTGGCTCTCTGGGAATCTTCTTGCCTTTTCCCCTGGAGTATGTAGACTGATTACTCCTGGGTTACGAGCCAGGCAAGGTTCAGCTCCTTTCTGCTCTTCTGTGACCTGGAATTAAATGTTTAATCTTTGAAGCCTGGAGTTTCCTGTCCTATGAAGTGAAATGATAATAGCACACAACTCATAAAGTTTTTGTGTGTGAACTCATGGGGCCATGAAAATACTGATAGCTGATAACGATTAAAATGGTAAACCACACTAAAGCAGTCAGTGTTTGGTCCAGGGACTGTTAGAATACTGGATAAACATCCTTATTTCATCTCCTTGTAGCCAGCAGGTGAGTTTGCTCCCTCCTTTTCCCTGACTCCTTGGCAGTTTCAATGGTGATGATTCTGATGCCATCATTTTAGTGGTTTATGTCGTTAAGGATGTAAAACTCTTGAGAAATTGGAGGGAAAATGCCAGTTCTCTCCTCCCCAAGGGGGAGAGACTCAGAATTTTGCATATAGTTTAGTAGATTGTGGATCACAGAGGTTGGCCCACTGTCCTTTGGAACTCCAGAGACCTCAGGCTAACCCAATACCCCTCCCCCCTTTTAGAGCATGCCCTTACTCCTGTCTCTGCCCTGTGAAAAATGCTAATACCCAGGTTGCCAAGACAGACTCTGCACTTAAGTATGGACAAGGAAATAGCAGGACTTTGCAAACTTCTTCAAGTTCCATGG